GCTGAGGTACAATGGGTGCCATCCAGCAACCTGGATTAAAATCTGTCTATATTAAAAAAAAAATGTTTAGTTAGATTTTATATTTAGATGAAATTACAACCATTAAAAGAAATCTATAAAGCTTGATCATTCATGAGCAGCCTGAAGTAGCCACACCAAAATTACATATTATATCATTGCACGTATACAAGGAAAAATTAGTTCTCATGGCCAACATAAGAATAATCTGTCCCTTAGATTATATTTAAACCTAATAGGAATATATTCTCACATTCCTAAAGCTATTTCTATTCACGTGTGCATAGATACAGCTGTGCTTTTTGTTTTAAATGAGCCGTTATTATTTTGATAGGATGTAAATGTAAACATAACTAAACTTAATTGTAAAGTTAATGTATATTTAACTTTTTGATCATTTTCCTTGTATAAATTTGACAATAAAAATTAGATTGAAAATGTAAAAAAAACTCTGCAGTGCATCTTTATAGCAGATTTAAAGCTTGCATGCATTTTTTTTTTTGGTGGAGAGCCAAATATCAGTGTCTTTCATGGGGCCCCAAAGTCCCGTCGGCTCCCCTGTGACCAGGGCACCTTGATAGAGATGTTTTTCGTGTGACCCACGTGGTTTTCCTTTTACCTGTATGCTATAAAGACTTATTAAAGCTCCTTGGATCAATGCTTTTCGTTCTCTACCCAATGTCTGCAGATGTGATCCACCATTTCCATTCAAGGACGAAGAATGGAAATGCTGCGTGGTGGCAGACGATTTTTCTTTAAATAAAACTGGAGCTTTTATCAATCTGTTTAATTAGAATATAAGATAAATTATCTGCTGGGTTAAAACTCAAGTCTCTGAGCTGAATGCATTGTTGCTTTCAACGCATGCTGGTAAACTGGATTTAGATCTCTGCCTCTATAGTTAGTCTTTTCTGCTGTTATTACATGTAAACAATAATATTTCAATACACACAATATTTTATATTTTCCAGGTTTTTGTTATATCTTATGAATAAATTTCTGCCAGTTTTACCACTAAACCAGCACCAAACTATTTCCAAGCCCTGTTCCAGATGGAAACCACCTAGTGATAGTTACTGTATAGCACCGCCATCTTGAATATCCTAGCATCATTTGAACATTCATTAATTTTAACAATAAATCCAGTCCACATTGCCTCTCCCCAGAGCCGCCCTTGTGGCTAGATCAGACAAATCTTGAGATTTCCTCACCTCCTGAGTTAAGAAATAGATAATCTAGAACCACTCTTCTACAAATGTCAGATTCATTGTTTAAAAAGTTAAATTCCTCATCTACATAAAAAAATATCCACCAACCAAAACAAGGAAGGAGTTAAGATCCTTTCTCCGGTAAAATAACATGAAGAAAACCAATAGATTCTGGTTTTACCAGTTTCCACACCACTTTAACCACAGAAAACAAGTTTGTTTTGAACCGTCATCCAGATATGAAATCATGTCATAAGGCCAAAGTGCAGCTTTATATTTATACCCGTAGATATTTTGTTATGAAGCAACTTTTTTTGATCCGCTGGTGCTTCAACCTCTTACCTTGAAGTAAATATTAAACTAGGAGTCAACAGTATGGAGTTCACAATACACACCTGCTTTGAAGGGTAAAATGAAATCCTTTAAATAAATAAGTATAGTTTTAAATAAGCCACCTGTAGGTGAAGTGTAATCTGACCATGTCAATGATTATCTATTGAATCTTTGAAGGTTATACAGAAACACAGTGACATCTCCTCCATGTACTCACCTGGATGACTTTGTAGCTCAAACCAATTTGCCCTGAATGCGTCTATGAGAGCAAAACTCTACATTTTCCTTCACTTACGATCAACATCGACTTTTCATAGGATTCTTCGTCACGCCAACGTCGTCACCTTCAAGCTTATCGGTGCAGGGAAGGGTGTGGTGGAGTTAATGGTTGACTCTGGGGAGGGAACGGACCACACAGAAGAAGCCCTTGTGATTTCAGCAGTCTTTATTTCATAAGAGGGAGCAGAGCTGATGAAGTGTTTAGAGTCAGGATGCGGCGGTGTACAAAGTGTGTAAACTTGGAGCAACCTTCTGTAGCAGCCAAACAAACGGCTTCTGTCTGGGTTTAGATCGAAAGGCTTGATTTAACCAACAAAGCTTCATGGGTTTGATATTAAAAACCAGATCGCTTTGTTTTTTTTTTCTTCCTTTTATCCGTCCCTAAAAAGCTTTACCTAAACGTTTTTTTTTAACTATTCAAGTAACGACGACAGCAATGTAATGGTGCTTTCAGCTTCTACACAGTGCATTAGAAAACACAGTGAAGATATCACAAATTATATAAAAACTTAGCTAATATATAGTGGTAATAATTATTTTTAAAAAAGGTGTTTCTACAGTGGATACAAAGAACAGCACTGAGTCTTTGTTGTGATGTTTCTACAACCACTGCAACAAGAATCTATTTCAGGTCTGGATCAGAGACGCTTCTGTTGGGTGAAGAAAGACAAGGCCACAGGAACTCTGCTGGGAAACGCTAGTTTGCTTTAAAGTTACCTGAAATATTTGGATTTTTGTAGACCGATAAATACTGTAACACGCATCAGGTAGCATGGCTATGACAAGATACTGCCCCCCTCCATGCAGATTCAAATGGCTACAATAAATTACTAGGGATACAAACAAAGTAAAAATACAGTGGGATGTTAGATATAGTGGTTTGACAAGGAGGAGCATCTGGACTGAGAGCTGCCTCCCATGCAGTCCAAAACATTCCAATAAAGACGTGAAGTGGTGAAGCAAACAGAAAAAAAACACTTTTCCTTTGTCCCAGACAGGCTTCTCAGCTGCAGGTTCAGATCTCTGTCTCCCTCTGCTGGTGACGGAGCTGAACTGAAAGCTGGAGCCATGATCTCGCTGCTCTTTTCTTCAGAAGGCCAGTCTTTCCTCGATGGGCAGGCTGTCCATCAGACATTTCAGCTGTTCCTCGCCAAGCTTGATTTTGTCCTCCAGCTTACGCTGCTCGATGATGAGCGCCGACTTCATCTTCACAAAGTGCTCGTAGTCTGCCAGGCTGTCCTCCTGCAGGTAGTTGGCCAATATGTCACAAACGACACCTTCCCTACGGTCCAGGTTTTCCTTTAGCTCCTTTGCATCCTCGTGTTGGCGGATCAAAAGCTTCCTCTTTTCTATCAGCGTACGCTGAAGAAGAAACACAGAAATAAGAATCTCACAAACCGAGCAGATCAATGAGCAGCTGTAGCTTTCCAGTTCTTACCCTCTCCTCTGGTGCAGCGTCCTCCTCCAGATTATTAAGAGCATTTTCCACCCTGGCCAGGCGGCCTGAGAGGGACAGCAGCAGGCTCACCACTTTGTCCAAGTCCCCAACAAACATCCTGAACTTCTCCAGCTCATTCGGCCGGCACACCTGCTGGACCCGGGCTTCAACCTCGTCTCCCAGAGCGTTGTTGTCCATGATGTCCTCCAGAAGGCTCTCTTTAGCCTCTTGCAGCACCTGGAGCTTTTTTTTGAGGCTGTCAATCAGCTCTTGCTGTGTGGGAAAACAGTTTTAAAAAACCATCAGAAAAAGACTTTTCTACACTGATGTTACAAAGATTGACTCAGAGACGATCCTTTGTACCTTTTTGTTGTTCAAGCCAATATCCAGCTCATCCTCAGAGTCTTCCTCCTCGTCCTGTCCCTGCATGTCCTTCATTTTGATCAGCAGCTCGGCTTTGGGAGCAGATGTGCTGTAATATGTTGAACTGGTAACCATGGAGGCTGCTGCCGCCAATTTGTCCTCCTTTTCCCTGAAATTTAATTTAAAACATATAAAACTTGATTAAAGTAGAAAAGAAAAAACTCTGCGCCCTCCATCAATAAAAGAGTCAGAGAACACAAACTATATTATTGATAGGCTGGGTGAAACAGGTAATATGTGGGGAAACTCCACAACAAAACATAGGTGACACTATGCCCAAAACTTCCCCTTCAAAATAAAGGGAGCTGATGCCTTTTTATGTCTTTTTAAATTGATGCTTTTAAAGGAACTTCAATTTCTAAGCCCTGCTCAATTAATTGGTTCTCAAAGTTAAGTTACAGGAATAAATTCACCAAAGCGGTCTGTTAAAGAACAGCGTTAGCAGCCATTGTTGCATCATCCACCTCAGTAGTATCCTGCAATATTTAGATGTACCTTTGGTTTAACACACCTGTATCAAGTCATTAGATGAGAGGAGTTTGGAGAAAATGACTGCATACTGAGGAGGTAACTCAGCTCTGTGATTCTAGAGTGTTGGACCTAAGATTAATCTAAAAGTTGCAGGATACAAGCCCCAGAAACTGAAATAACTCCCCCCTGATCTACATGCAAATCAGTCTGTTGGAAAACAAACACCGCAATGATGGCTGTCAAGTGTTTCTTTGCCAAAGGCAGGAAATAATAAAGTATAAGGCATCACGATGCTTTCACTGGAAATCTTAAATAAAAACTGATTAACTTCTGCTGCAAAAACTGCAAATGGAGCCAAAACCTGCAGCCCAGTAACAGAAACAGCTAAATAATCAACATTTTCTGAGTTAAATTTAGTCCATGAATCAAAATACTGCAGAAAAACCAGCATAAGGTGTTTGAAGGCAGCATGAAAAGCTGTGGTCAAAGATCGTTTACATTGTGAAATATTACAGCAGAAGAACAGGTCCTGTAACTCGGACCAAAAGAAGCTGATTTTAAAATTCTGATATAGTTTTGATTTGATCAAAATAGAGGGGAAGCATTTTGTCTTCATATATAAACCGACATCTATTCAGGGCCGTTTTCGGTTCTTCTAAGCAAATAAAAAGGTTTCTGACCTGCTGATCACACTGCAAAAAATGTAAATCTAAGTAAGTCAATTTTTCTTAAAATAAGTAATTTTTTTCTGCAATTAAGCTGGTAAGTGAGACACTATAACAATGCAACAAGAAAATTTACATTTGAAATAAGAAAAAACAACAGCAGTCTCTTATTTCAAGTGAATAATGTGAAATTATCTTATTCTAAGGTTAAAAATGCTCCTTCTATTGGCAGATCATCTCATTTTCCATACTCAAATTAAGATTAAATACACTTATTTGAAGAAGTTTTTACTCATTTTCAGAATGTTTTTGCAGTTCATCTAACCGAGGGAAGGCCGTCGATTTCTGTGTGTCTATCATAAAAAAAATCATGAAATCAACAAGCAGATTGAAGAATAATGAATGAGGATTAAAACACGCTGATTTCTCAGGGTTGAACTGGAGATTTATGACCAGAGCTCACTGGGTTCTGATCCAAAAGCCACGTGATGCTCACCTCCCTTCGGCTGGCTTGGTCTGCTTGGTCTGTATCTTCCTGCGCTGGTGGGCTCCATCCAACAGCTGCTCCCCCTGAGGGAAGATCCCCTCCATCAGGTCCATAGTGGTCCTCATCTTGCTCTGATCCAGAATATCAACCAGTGATTTATCCTTCCCCATGATGTCCCGGGCCAACTCCTCTCTCTTCTGTTCCTCCCTCTCACTCAGTCCTTCTTCCTTACTGCTGAGCTCCTCACTGTTGGAGCTTGGATAATCTCCCAAAGTGGTCATGTATGGGTCTCTCTGCTGCACCTCAGGTTCTGGGCTGTTTTCTGGCTCCCTCTGTCGGGTAAAGGCACAGAAAACAGAGTCCTGTCCCAGAGCTGGCAGAGCACCGAGCCTGGCCACACTTTGGCCCCCGGCCTCGCTGTGAGGGAGGTCACTCTGCTGGAGAAACGGGGAGTTCTCCTTCTCTTCACTTCCTTCTGAGTGTACGATCCTGATGGGAACTTTTCTTGCTGCGGTATTCTGGTTTTCTATCAAATGCTCCACCCTGAAAGAGAATCAAATGCAGAGATATTTAAAGATACTCTTTCTCTGGAAGAGGCCTCTCCTTGAAGCCATGATTTGATTTCAGTTTGGCCGCATGTTGGCAGCTGGAATTTTTTCCATGCCCAATGTGCTGGAATATCCAGGGCAAGTAGACTCCTCCTACCCTTTTGGTTTCAACAAACTGCAGCTCTAATCTGTCTGCAGGGTCTAAAATTCACAACAGATGACACTGATTTGGTTGAAATGTGGAATAAAAGAATAAACAAACCAATTTTTTTTTTTTAGCATTTAGAAGAATTATCCAAATAGAAAAAATGCAGAGAATCCTCCTAAGTTACCACAGCTTGATGGCACTCACATGTTGCTACTACAGAAACAGTGCCTCCCATTATTCTCTGTACATGCAGCATTAAGACACAGCAGCATCTAAAACTGCTGCTTTTTCCAAACAAACCCTGGTCCCGCTGAAGCCCAAAGGTTACCTGTTTGATTCGTCTGCGTGAAGAGACACCGGAGGCTTGTCGCTGAGTCTCTGTGGAGAGAAATGTGGAGAGGGAGAGCGCTGCCCCTCCATGCCGAAAAGCCCTGAAGGTCTGTAGGAGGAAGCCTGGGCAGAGGAGACAGGCTGAGGATTGGATGTTGATGGATGATGTTCTGCCTCTTGTCCTTTGCCCTGCTCACAATCCGTCTTAGCAGAGGAGGTGGGATGAAAAGTTGGGTTAGGTTCAAAGTTTGAAGGGCACTGGGTAAGGACGTCGCTCTGGGAACCGGTGAAGGAGATCTGGGAGTCTATTTCTTGCTGTTTAGCTGGTGCTGCAGCCGGGGGCTGTGTGGGGCTGTGCTCCCCTGGCTCAGTGGGACAGGGAGAAACAGATACAGACTTGTGGTTCCTGGTGGCAGCAGCAGTAGATCTCCGTCTGCAGTCAGGATTGGCTCCTGTCATGAGCGGAGGGGGTGGTGCGGCGTAATTCTCAATCTCTGCTGGCTTTTCTCTCTCTCTGCAGTCACCTGAACTGCCGTGGTAGGACCTGAGGAACACAACAGAAAGCTTTTAATTACACAGGCTGCCAACATAAGGCTATCATCTGCACCTTATTCAAATAATACACGGTGGAGCAGGTCTCCTTCACCCCACCATCAGCCACTGTGATTATGCCACCATGACAAGACACACGTCTTCCCTCTGCTTAGCAACCGCTCATCTGGAAGCTCGGAGAGGAATATTTCACTCCCCACAAAGTCTGCAGAGAGGGATAAATATTCCTCCAGAGCAGATCACTTTTTCCTGCCTCAATCCCACTCAGTTTTAACTCTTTAGAGGAAAAGTCACAGACTTTAGCACTGGAAGTGGAGTCATTAAGAGGCCTGCTGGTAAACAGACTTAAACCTTTAATTGTTCAATCATTCAGCTTAATTTAACCACCCGGCTGAGTTTAAAGCAGTCATTAACTCATCCATCCAGCCTGCTTTGTGTGCATGAAAGAAAAACCAAACAGACTAATATCATGGTTTCATACGCACAGATTACATTCCCTGTATCTTCTGATACAGCTTCTATTTGGAGCCATTAGCCCATAAATCACACAGCTTTGATTAAAGGCTCAATTCATTTTTATAGTCACGAGTTCAAATATGGTGGCTTTGGAGCAGACTGACGCCACAACTCAAAGCTCCTGGTTTAAACCCTCACAAGCTCTAACATGTCCCCCCCAAAAAGGTCTGTAGCTAGATCCTCTCTCATGCTTCAGCACCGGCTCCACATAATGTGTTAAAGTTTCATTGCTGAAGCATAAAACCAACAGGATCCTAGAAGTAGCCAGAGGCATGAGAGGGTGAGTTTTCATGACAGCAGGAACTTTTTTAGAAAGAAGGTTAGGATATTATTCCATAATTACCTCAGATTTAACTCTAGAGCTCTAATTATGTCAACTTTGACTGCTGTAAGTTTAAAATCAAGCAGCCTGACACCAGTGTCTGTATAAATAAGGTAAAACAACTTGGACAAAGAAGCTCTGTCATCACCAGTAGTTTAAAAATACTTTCCTAGCATATAACATCCTTAATCTCTACATCTAGAGCGGACTGAATTATTCCACCCAGGAAAACTGCTTTTAGTCAATCAGCCTTTTCTGTTGAGCCTCTAAAAAGAAGAACCACATTCCTACATCAATTAGAGCTTTTGTGCTTTTTGTGTAATTCCCATTCTGCTGTATTCGTACTGTTTTCTCTTTGTTTTTACTTTTCCTTTATAATAATGAATGTTTTTCCAAGTTTAAAGCAACACTAGCTAATGACTGTAACACCAACTTATCAATGTTAACCCTCTAAATGCTGCTGCATGTATTCCACCAAATCTGCTGCTAGGTATCAAATCTTTATTGCCTGTTTGTCATTAGTTTTTGCTCCTGCTGCACGGGGAGAGTGGCGGCGTAGTGGTTAGGGCATAGAGCTTGGAATCCTGAGGTTCTGAGTTCGAGCCCCACTCCCACAGACTGCCACTCTGGGTCCCTGAGCAAAGACCCTTAACCACACACTCCTCAGTTGTCACACAATGGCAGCCCACTGCTCCCCAAGGGGCTGGGTTAAATGCAGAGGGGGAATTTTGTTGCTCTGTACTTGTGACAGTGTAATGAAAGCTGAAAAAAAACATATGAACTCACCATGTATCAATTGCTATACACCTCTATTTTTTTTTTTTTTTTACATCTGAACAAGGACTATGAATAATAACTAGCCTTTTGGCTAACTCTGACATAGCTTAGAGTTTAACTGGTATTTTCATGCATTGTCCCTTAACAATCAGTAACAAAAAGTAAATAATAAACAAAGTCAGTTTTTTTTTTAAATCCTGTCAAAAAGAAAATGTAATCTCATAAAGCCCTGACAGATCTACAGTAAACATAAATAAGGATACAAAGGGGGAAAAGGATTCAGAAAGTCCACAAAAAAACAAAACCGAATAGAAAGTTAAAAAAGTGTTTTCATGTTTACTATAAATGTTCAGAAACAAAAACAACCACTCCTCTGCTCCATGTGTGCATGATACCATTTGGGAACACATCTACGGTACTATGAAGACTGTTTCCTCTGAGTTCGGCCTAGTCAAAGTATCAACTTAGTGAGGTAAATTCTCTGTAAGGACATTAGACTGGACCAGGGTCCCTCTACAGTGATATAAAACACTGTACTCGGTCCCACCAACCTCTGACAGGGGCTTATTTCTGCTACAGCTGAAACAACCTAGAGCTCTTTAACTGATTGCTAAAATTAAACAGATGTCATGAAATAATAATAATATCCCCAAACCCCTACAAATCAAGCATTTTAACCATTTAAAATAATCAAATACAGGCATATCAGGACATTAACCCTCTCACCTTCAGTGACATTCTAATATCCATCCAGAGCATTAAAGGAGCATCCAGTCATCTGTCAGAACCTCTATGACTGAAGCCACCTGCTGGTGTCACTTTCCACCTGTATCAATTTCCCCATCAGGGTGGAGCTCTCCTACCAGACCTTACCATAACAATAACATCCTCCATCTGCTCTGTTGTTGTAACGTAAATGTGAGCGTCAGATGGTGCAGCTCCAACAATGCAGTTGCTCAATATCAGTTACTTTACACCCCTTTAGTTTCGGATGATTCTTGAAAAACTGGCTGCCAAACGCCGAGTCATGAGTCACACTTTGTGATTCTCTGCTGGAGATTTACTCAGAGTAAATATATGTCAGACATAAAGGGTATTAAGAACGTAAACTTAATTAAAACGAAGCAATTTAAATCTGTAGTTTTCCCTAAAATGGTTTTTGTATATTTCATTGAACTGCTACACTCGCCTCCTCAAACCCTGCATGTTTACATCTTCTTAGAACTTGTAGGTTTTAAACCAAACTCAGCTTAACCCTGATGGCGCTCCAGTTAAACCACAAACTATTCTAAATTATAGCTATGTAACATGTTTGTTACACAGCTTACATGAGTTTGAAAATGATAAACCAGATTGGTCCAAGAATGGGTATGATCCACTTCAACCTTCAATTTCAAAATCATGGAAAAGTACTAAATAAAAAAGAAAGAAAATTTGGGTTTTTTTGTAGAAAAGGAGCAGAAAACAACAGCAGCTGGCCTCAGAGTAACGTTTAACAATTTTATAAGCAGATTTATATTTAGATAATACGAGTTTCCCGTTTTGAGACACACTAATTTTAGTGATGGCTCTTTAGATAATCTTTAGATAATCCTGCTGTGTGGCATGTTAAGAGCCACCCGATCTGTTCAGAAGGATGACGAGGAGGCAACCTGTTGAATGTGACACCTTGCTAATAGGAAAGCATTTATATATTAAATTTAATGCAACAACTCACCAGTTTAACAGGTAGAGCCCCTGTTGGCACCGTTTCCACTTAATTTGTCTCTTTCACCTTTGAAATTAGTCTTCATATGTTAACAGCTGGTTTGTCCTCGTCAGCCATGTTTATTTACGATGAAGTTACAATTGATATCAAGAGGGCTTTTGTGAGATTTCTCACCTGAAATCTGAGTTTATCTGAATTAACCTATTTGTGTGTGGAGTGCACACAGTAGAACCAAACAGGTTATGATCTATTTTAATGCTCATATGTAGGGTCTCTTGGGTTTTGAAATTTACTTTACAATTTTCATTACTTGTGTTAACCAGGTATAAAATACACCCAACCTGCCTCTCTGAATTTAAACAGGTAGGTTCAGCTTATCGAACCTTCATATAAAATTGGCCTACTAAAACAGACGGCTTCTGCAGGGCGTGATCAGTAAACAGGAGTTTATTAGCAAAGCGGCTTGTAGCTTTGTGAATTTAGAGAAGCTCCAAACTTTTCTGTAGCTACGGGAGGCAATTGAAAAAGCAGCTGTATTCTGAATGTTAAAACATGTGGTGTTCAATCATGGTAAGAGAGAGTAAGACTTTCAACAGATAACAGAAAGGCTGAAACGAGAATAACAAAAATAATCTGTTTTAATCTTTCGAACTTCATGCTTTGAGGAAAAAACAAAGAAAAAGAGGCTTTAATTATGCTAGCCCAGCTAAATGCAACTAGATAAATAATTTCTTACAAAGTACTTTGATTCTATTCTTGTACCATGTTACATTATAGCTCCTATAGTTGCAAACCGCTTTAGTAGTAGTCTTGAAACTTAATGGAATGTTAGCTAACTGAAGAATTTCATTATGTTAATCTTCATTAAGATTAAAATACTACAACTAATTTCAGAGATTCATGCGCATCTCAAACAAATGCAAAGGTGCTTTAGGAGATCTTGGAAAAAGGTTCCAGCAAGCGACAGTTTGAACATACACAACCATGCCTCTCCCTTCAGACCACCGCTTGAAACCACACCTTTAAAACACATGAACGCGCATGCTGTCTGCAGTGCATCTACAGCAGCAGGAGCAGAGTGTCTGAGCAGCTGAAGCAGCGCGTTGCTGATCTGGGAGCTGGCAGGGAGACAGGCAGCACTGATGATGCAGAGCACTATGATCACTCTTCTGAAACAGTTTATTAACGCCTAAATTAACTTAAAATGCCTAAATCTGCCGGCAAAACATGTTCGCTTCTGTTATCCTGGTGCCTGCAGTTTGGATTACGTACATGAAAAACGCCCTCCAGCCCCTGCGGCAAAAGAGCAGGTGACCGGGCCACAGGCTGCTGTTGAACGGGATTCGTGGTGACAGAGCACCGCTGGTGTAAGGGGGTCTGAGCGACTCCGGCAGAAATAATATTTGAAGGCAGGATGGTAATCTGGATTAACTGACAGCACTGACCAAGTTTTCAGGTGGACTTTCTCACTTCAAAATAGATTCAAACTACTTTTTACCCACTGAACACGGCAAATATAGCTGCCATTGTTACAGGCAAAGAAAGGATAGGGTAGCTCCGCCCAACGCGCATCAGGCCCACTTTTTCCACCGCTCAGCCAGAGCAGCAAAGATGCTTCAGCCGCAGATCAGAACTAAACTTGAACTAAAATTAAAACAGCACGCGTGTTTTTGCTGCTCTTGCTGTTTTAAGTGTGAACGTAGCATAACAGTGGCTAGCTTCCAGCCATGGCGTCCTGCACGAGCATTGGGGGGTCGATTCGTTCATGTGTCAGGGTACGTGCACAGGGGGGAGGGACAAGCAGAAGACCATGACCGACGTCTCAGGAACCAATCGTGTACAACGGACTGTATTTTGTGATTGGTTGTGGTTATTCAGTAATTTCTCACTGTAGCGGGGACCATTTATTTTAGTTTCACTTCCAGACCTTCTATTTCACTGCTTGCTAAGCGGCTGTGGGGAGATCTTTAAGCCACATGGTAAAAAAAAGCATCAGAAAAGATCTCCTACTGCACCTTCAAGACTAGTCTATAATGTAATTTAACTATTCTTTTTTATTTACTGGTATTCTTACCTGATAAAAGCAAGGGCAAAAATGTCATGTAGGCAGAGTTGCAAGTTATTTTGACTTGGGAACACAAATCTACAGGGAGTGAGTTACAGTTGTTGACATATGTCAGTGTGAACCAAAGCAGAGCAACCAACACCGCAGTGCTCTGAAAAACTAAATTACTCGCACCTATAACGCAATTGCTGACCTTACTAGTAAAAAATGCCATGCCTTCTGGCTGCTTCTGTGAACTTGTACCCTCTAATAAATTCCCACAGTGTGAAGAATCACTTCCTCACTGTCACAGACGTATTCAGATGCCCTGCCTACACCCCTGAGCCTCCAGGAATTGACACAAAGCTCAGTTAGAGAGAGAAGGCTTCTGTTGTCACAGCTGTGCAGAAGGACTGCCACTGTTACGCCTTTGCACATTATAAAGGCTCTAGTGTTTCTGTAAACGCTTGTTGGTGTCTTTATTGATAAAGAAAAAAACAAAACAATAAAATCCATAAAGAGATTTCTCATGTGTGCAAACAAATGCGATAAGAAATATATTTGGCAGATGTGAAACCCAAACAAGATTTACTGACCTTGTATCTGTGAGCGTTTCAGTCGTCTGAATCTTCGTCTGGGAATATTCTGTGTCAAGGTTTCCTGCAGGAACTGGAATCTTCTGTAGATGAGGTTGAAAAAAACAGACGGACTTATGCAAAAACATTCAAACATCACACAGATCCAATTGAAGGTCTTGAAACCAACTCATGTTAAAGCTTTCTCGCTGCTGAACAAAAAAAAAAAATAAAATCAACAGGTTGATGCCCACAAGGCAATCTACTAGGATGAGGGTGTGTCTTTTTAAACATTTACAGATTAATATTTAACTTTGCCTGTTTTCTTTGCAGCTTTCTCTGCAGTCACTGATGAGAATCAATATTAATTATAACCAGGTTTTGCTAGCACATACTTCCCCTCAAGTATGGATCAGATTACTGATAGTGGACTGAAAGTTTGTTCCATCAGTATCACTAAGGTCTTTGAATAAAATCTGAGGCAGTAAAGAAATAATTAGGTATATTTTCACTGACATGTTGTAGACTTCCTTGTTTTATTTACAGGGCAGAGACAGGGGGAGATCTTCTGCAGGTAACATGAATGTTTAGCTCCATTTCAGCCTGATTAAACTATGTGACTTTTACAGCCATCAATTCTTTCCTTTTTCTTAAAAATAGAAAGTAACTCTGGATCAGAGTTCTGAGGCTCTTAAAGCGGTCTACGCAGAAAGTCATTTAAAGTGAGTCATGTTCTTACTTTCCAAAGTTGACAAAACTTGATTACAAAATGCAACCAAAAAACCCAATCTAGGGCTGAAAGACATTGCCAAAAATTAAAATTGCTATAATTTTAAACTAATATTGTAATTTTATTAGATTTTTTCCCTCACAATAACCATAATCATGTAAATGTTTTAATAAATGGTTTAGCATTTTTCATGACCTTGAAAGCTTGTTTGTCCAAAGTCCTTTTCTTCAGGACTTTATCATAACCTTTGTGTGAAAAAGTACTAACTTCAACTCAGAGGCACAAATCTGCTAGCTAGCTGCATCTTTCTCTTCTCTTTTGCATTGTTGCAAACCTACTTTAAGCATATTACCGCCATCTAAAGGTCTGCACAAGAAATGTATCTGCTTCATCGAGTTTACTTAAATGTAATATGACAAAAAATTGAGTTCCTCTGCAATTTAAAAATAGCTTTTTGTTAATTTACAATTGCATTGCAAATGCAATTTATTGCCCGGCCCTCTTCCAATCTAACTAAATGTTTGTCAAGGATGATGAATGCTGCAAGTCAGTGACCTGATGCAATCAGTAGTTATCTTGGAGAGGAAATCTTTAACCCATTCATTAAATAGGCTCAATTTAACCTCATTGTTTGAAACCTACAGTCTAATTACAATGTAGGAAACTGACCTCTAATCTGTCTGTATGCTTGGCCTAACTACTTTTTTTTTATCAAAACAGCCATCAGAAACATTTGGTGTGAATTGCAGCAAGATGCATAAACTAAATACATATAGATTTAGAAATTTCTGTCTTTTGAAAATCTCAGGGTTCAGATAAAAGCCTGTATTAACAATGGCTCAAAAGTATCTCATATACAGTAAGGTATTATGGCCAGTTTAAAATAAACTCTAATCATTTAAAGACTTTTTCTTAAAAAGAAAAAAAAAAAAAGCTTTTGTTGTGCTCTAAAACAGTAGTGTAATGCCTAAGCTCTTGGAACGCACTATGAATAACTGGTGCATCTCAGTTCTGTTATGTAAGCTTTTATATTACAGTTTTGAGAGAGATTTGATAATTGACTGAAATTGCCAATGGAATATCAAAGAGGAATCTCTATCTATATATCTATATCTATATATATACATATACAAAGATGCCTGAAACAACAGATATTGTAACCATGTGCCTTACCTGTCCATATATGTCTGCTGTGGGCGATGATCTGGACCTCTCATGGAAACATGGCCTCTGGGTTCGGTCCTCGGATTCTGGATCTAGGATGTTATCAGCTGATCGATAGCGTCCCCTGGGTTTTTTCTCTAAATGTTTCTTTTGTATTTTCCAACTTGCTTCATACTCAGCGAATGTACCGAGTCTTTGCTTATCTGGGGAGGATGGTGTGGAGTATGACACCTCTGTGTTCTGGGTTCCCTTTGGGTCCACTGTTGCGCAGCTAGAGGACTGAGCTTTGACTTGGCTTTTAGGGGGCATGTAATCAGGAAATCCTGGTTTTATGGGTTCATTGAAGTGTGTTTGTTGGTCTAGGAAGGACTTTGCATTTTCAGATGGACTTTGGCTAACCCCGATTTCATAGATTTTATCTGGTTCAGAATAAGACCGGACCTTCTTTTCTGTAGGGATTCGCTTCCGGAAACCAATGCGAGTTACGTGACCAGTGGAATGATGTGTTTCGGACTCTGTGACCGTTGCCAAAGGGTTGACATCTTTGTGAGCCTGAACTTCAAGTTCCAGATCCCTCCTCCTGAAAGATGTAGCCTGGAGCACCCTTGCTTGCGCTTCCTTTAAATTGTCTTTGTAGGAGTTGGAGAAGGACCCGTCTGCAGAGGTTGGAATGGATGATTTAGTTGATTTACACGAATCTTGACCCCCTACTTCCCCCTCGGCTTCAGGGAGGGCAGCTGCGCTCGTACTTTTCTGCAGCTTCGCTCTTCTCATCTGGATTTCATTTCTCAGGGTGGTGGCGAACCGCTCACTGCGCTTTACTTGCTTGCTTTCTAAGCACTCCTCAGAGTTTGGACCACTGCTTTTCTCCTCCTGACCTTTAACACCCATGGACAGGGAGTGAAGCATTGGGGTTGTCTTGGGGCAGATGTTGCTCACCTGGCTCCCCACAAAGTCTTGATGGGAGTCTTTGAGCTGAGCTGGCAGAGACCTCCTCTGCTCGGGGTGTTTCTTAGGAGGGTTACTGACATACAAAGGATCTGTCATCTGTCCGCTGTTTCTTCTCTGGCTTTCCCTGTCATCAGAGAAATGTTTCAGAACAGAAGTCTCTGGAACAGTAGTCACCTGGTGCTTACTGTAAACATTGCTGTCTTTGCTGTGAGAAGGGGGTTGATACTTGACTTTATTGACCATCTGCTCAGTTCCAGGCTGTGATGAATCCACACCAGTGCCGCTCCTCCGGTCATTTGGTATGTCTGACCAAGATGCAGGCTGATTGGACGTAGAGACACAGTAATAACGATTCGGCCCGGCGGTCTCTGTGTTTTGGTTAGTGGTAGTAGAAGACAGGGAGGAGCTTAGGCTTCGTCTCTGGTTGGAATGTTTAGTAGAACCGTTAGTAGAAGGTTCTTGCGAGCTACAGTGGGATCCACCTACATGCTGTGGCTTTGGTACAGATGTGAAACGGGGCGGATGATGGAAAGTGCTTTTGTCACCATGTTGTCTTGAATGGAAGAGCTGGCTACCTTGGGGGACTTGTTGCTGTCCAACATCATGGCTGTAAAATGAGTACTGCTTGTTCGAGCTGTATTGGGAGTTACTGCATTTGTCAGAACCGACGTAAACATTTTCGCTTTCGTTCTTTGGGGAAATGTTGTGGCCGCGGCGATTTTCAGCAGGAACCTTACAGGCCAGGTGGGGCTCAGGTCCTTCGGGGGGAGTTTTAACCATCCCTCTCTCATGTGCCTTAGTTGCGGCAAAGCTATCGCTGCGTGCAGGAGGAAGCGGAGGGGGAGGAGAGGCTGAAACACTTTTCTTTTTCTCAGGGACGTTCCACACGGGCCCAAAGCTGGTTCTGCTTGAAGAGGAGTGCCGGGACCCAGCTGAATCCTCATTCTGTGGACCACTGTGGCCAGAGTTAACTCCTGGCATCTGAAAATACATTAGTCTTTCCTCCTGTCTGCCCCCTTCAGCAACCAGACTCTGGCTGTTTCTGCTATTACTGTGCTTTGCTCCCATATCCCACTGACCGACCTTATAGGCTACATTCTCCGTCGAGGCAGCATTGCTTTTTGACAGTGAATAGTCTGGAGTGCTTGAGCTGGTAGAGAAGGAGCTGTAAGCAGAGTCTCTTTTCCCTCCTCCAAGGTGCTCCGTGCTGTTGTTTGACATCTGACCAGAAGGGTACGAGTGTGGGACATGTTCTAGACTATCCATGCTGCCCAGAGAGCTGAACTGGTCAGACACTCTGCGCAGGTTAGTCTGCTCCCAGCCAGAGGAGAGGTCTGTAGCAGAGGAGCTGGAGCTGCAAGAAATAAAAAGAAGGGAATATGAGTTCTGAGGTTCCCACATTAATACCATAACATTAAAATAGGACACGACTCATAACACATTTTCATTAAGCTCTCGTTATGAGCTGGTTAAAATCAGAGTTTGTGTCCTTTTATAGGTTATATGTCCTGTTAACTGTCTCAGAGAACGTCCTGGAATAACAAGCTTATAACTGATATGGATTTTTCATTCTAATTTAGTTTTACTTAGTTGTAACTATTTTTTCTCTGATTCAGGTAGTTTTAGTTTGTCTTTAGAGTGAGGTTTAATATTTCATATTTGTCACTATAAGTTGATAAATGTTTAGCTTTCATTGGTTCCACATAAGTTTGAGTTTAAACTTTAGATCATTTTAAATATTGCATTAAAGAAATTATATAAATAAGTAATCCAATCTTAACACAAGATGCAATTTTAAAAAAATGATTTAATTCCAGCAACTTAAACTGGAAGCTTGCAAAGCTTATAAAAAACTGATCAATATTAAAATGAATGATATATATCACTAATTGTAGCATGTTTACCGTAATTTTCGGACTATTAGTCGCACCTGAATATAAGTCGCAGAAGCTAAATTGCATGATTTGTACATATACAAGCCGCACCAGACAATAAGCCGCAGGTTTTTTTATGTTTAACACAAACTGTCTTGCACTCGCAATGTCCGTCTTTCTCGCTGTCGTTCTGTCTCGTACCACTCGCGGTAGAAGTCTGCTTCCGGAGGACCTCCGCATTCCCACGCGCGCGGCTACCGTACTTGTGTGTTGAAGCAAATGTGACGTCAACATGGTGGATGGTAAAATCCATACATTTAGGTATTACCCTAGTGGCCATTAGCTGTAAAAGTCCATAGATAAGCCGCATTGTTATAAAAGCCGCAAGGTCAAAAAATGAGGAAAAAGTCGCGGCTTATAGTCCGAAAATTAGTTTTATTTTAATTTTTGTTTCAAATAAAGTTTTCTCAATTTCAGTTTTCCTTTTTTCATTGGTTTAAGAGAAACCAAAGTCTTTCCTTTGGCTCAGCAGAGCGTTCATAAATATATTCTGCTCCCACCTGGCCTTTTGCTGCTGGAAGAAAGATCAACAATACACCTCTCCCTCAGTTATAAGATTATGTGAGGAAAATTTACGCTGTTTGGAAATATATGGGTTGTGATAAACTCAGAGACTCATGATGTGAAGAAAAAAGGGGAACAACCACCTTCTGAGAGCATGTGTCAACTGAAATGAGGTGAGCTGATATGTTAAAAAAAGAAAAAAAGTATAACACTAATTTGAAAACAATCACAAAACCAGTTTAGCTGATTTATTTTTATTAAATAGGTGTATTAATAAAAATGAATACAGATAATAGGATTCAGCTAATATTGTACGTTGTAATGATCAATTTGTTATATTTTAGCAACAGAAGAAACAATGGTTGGTTTCCTCTTTTAAATAAAAACAGGCAAACTGTACTCAGACATTTACATATCAGAATGCACATGCATGAGTTATCTCAAAACGCTGATGAAGGTTCTCAGTCATCCAGGTCATAGTCATTCCGTAAAAATTCAAAAATATCCACTGGACTTGAAAACCAAGTGTCCGCCTCGTGAAACCAAGTCCAGTGGATATTTTTGAATTTTTACGGAAAGTTATCTCAAAACAGAAACAAAAACTTTATGTTTGAGGGAATATTTGTTTATATGATACAGTGCTATAAAACTATAATTAATCAGTTTAAAGTTCTTAAAACTAAAGGCTCCAACTGTGTACTGTAAATAACAGCATTTCAAATCCCCCTTACCTTGCGTCATATCTGGGGTGCCACACTGTGGTGGGCGGAGACTTTCTTCTGCCAGCTTCTGATTGGCTTTCATTGAACTTGGTGGAGTGCCAGGAGTGAGGCCTGCTTATGGGTTCATTCCGTCTGCAGAGAGGGCAACAAAAAAAAACAACAAAAAAACAAGGCTGGATTACAAACCAAACCCTGATGAAAAACTCACTTTTTCCATGTATAAACCACTGCATGCTGACCTTATCTGGAAACCTAAAAGAAAATAAAACAGCGGACTACTTTTTTTTTCAGCTGAGAAGTTTTAGGTTGCTTTTATTTTCTTATTTTTCATAAAAAGAGCTTCTCATTGAAAATTAATATATGCATTAAAAATACATTTGATTTCAGATCACAAAAGCCCTTAGTACAACCCTACAGGCCATTGGCAAATCTAGACGCCTGTGAAGAGGTCAGAGCTCTGAAAGAGGATATTTTATAAAAACAGATGCTGGAGCTGACATTTTAGGCAATTATATGGAAGTGACTTTTTAAATGCAACCAAATAAAACTACCAAAATAATCTGTTTGGGTCAGTAATGTATACTTTTGATTCGCTCCAATGATCACAATGGAAAACATGAATGGATTTTTAGATTTGATTCAGTCAGAGCATTTCTGTAGCAATCAGACACATACCCTTCGAAGCTGTTCTTTCTGACGTAGCATGTGACAGGGCAAACACAAAAACACACATTTTTTTTAAGAGAAACACTAACAAAAAGTATTCTAGGTCTAACTGGATGAAAGGACAATGCATGCTGCACAGATGGGATAAACTTTATCTAATGATATGAATGACAGGACAACGTGTAAAAGCCAGCAGGCCATGATGTGCCAGAGACAGAGAGCTGCTATTAAAGGATTGACTGAAATTACTAAGCAAATGATTTTTTATGGAAATATTCACGAGGCGGACACGATGAAGGAAATAGGCACTACTTCCAAAGAGAGAAGTCACAGAATCATACCTCATGGAACTTCGCAAAATCTTCGTAAGAAAGCTTCTCGCCACATGCACGTCATTCTCTGAGGGCATTTTCTGAGCTACTATGTCCACCATTTTCAAAGTCCTGGGCAGCGGGAGCAGGAAAACACAGAGAGCTCACCAGCAGAATGAGACAAACACCACTTTACATACGAAAATTTGGTTAAGCACACGGTTTCAGTTTTAGAGCGCTAATATTTTCCAGACTGGATTGTTAATATTTCCAAATAAGATGACAGCCATATTCATAAAAAAAAAAAAAGAAAAAAAAGAAAACAAAAAAAATAAAGGAAAAAAATTCAAAAGAGAGAGGCATTGAAAGAAGGCTTCTTGGTTATTTTCTACAATCCTACTCCAGTTTAAAAACATTTAAAACTAGAGCTCTGACACTAATTTCCATCATAAAAAAACACTGTGAAATTCATTCCTACCTCTGCTTTCCTTGCCAACACCTGTTGACTTCTAAATAAATAACCAGTTTGAATGGAAGAGTTGTTTAACTGTTTTCCAATCTGCTAAGATCATAGCATTCTGTCCCTGTTCAGGCTAGTTTTCAGGTTCATCCTCTGCCAATGAGCTCTTTTTGTAATTTACAACTCATTTTGTAGAAAGCAGAGGGATGCCAGGAGAGTTTTCAGCTATCTGCAAGATACAAACTAATAATTACAAATCAGAACCCAACTTAATGAAAACATCAACAAAACCTGGAACTATTAGCTTAAAAACCTTCATTGTGGTGAGTATTCAGACTGTTCTTCTAATTTGTTTACTCATATCTGCTCATTTTCAACGGCAACTTTTATCATTGCTATCTTTGTCAAAATAAGAATAAGTAAAGGTAGATTTACTGTTACTTATTCAGCTTCATTCATGCTGGATAAATGGTTATAATTACATTTTCTCTATTTTAACAGCACACCGAAAACTAACTTATAACTTTATTTGATACATTTTACTTTTGTCCTAACACACACCTTTTTTTTTTTTATTGTACAGGAAGTATGGGAACTTAAACTGCTTCCTTAACCTGCTTTAGCTAAATATATTTATTTATTTTAGATTTCCATATTTGAGAGAATGGAGGAGAGCAAAATGTTTCATAAGAAAAAATTTTTTTTTTTTTACTTCTTTTAGTTTCCTGGACTTATCCAGATGTGGGAAAAATTTAAACCAAATTCCATAGTATTAAAGGTTTGCAGATAAAATCTGCAATAACTGCTTCCTAAAGAAGCTTCAGACTGAAGAGAATAGAGCCTTAAGAAATCTACAACGCAATTACACTGTTTTCTAATTTGAAAGGACAATAAAAGTATAATTTTGAATAGTAAAACACTCAAACTTGGTGTTATAGCTCCCCCTCCTGGTAAAAATAATCATTGCCTAAACTCAGTAACTGAACCCGGAGCAAAATGACAAAGTCCATGTGTGATGGACAGTCGAACGTAACAGCAGCAGTAAAACTGCAGAGAGCTTCTCTTATTATCAGAAAAGGGTGACGCTGAGGTGAACTCTAATCGGTCTCTGCCATATGGCCCCCGGGGAACACAGGCCCAGCGTGAGCCAGGGTGGGGTGGGGGGGACTTAAAGTCGAGAATCTCGTTCAAAATCAGATCAGCCACTTCACCGCTTTATTCAAGCTGTTGTCTGCATTCCAGACATCTCTTCTGCCCCCACTTAAGTTTAAAACGGACACAGTTGGGGAACCACAACGGACATGAGAGCAGTTTGTAGTTGGAAGAGGATTAACCACTAACCCTAAAATATTACTGTTAAAAACATCTGTTTCTTTTGGATTTTTGAAAAAAATATTAGGAAGCAGGCTATGATTTACAAAAACTGATGTCTGAATATTATTAAGCAAATAATATTAGAGTCAATTCTGTAAGAAAGTAGAGCCTTGAATTTAGTTTCAAGGTTTACTCAAAAAAAAAAGTCTTGGGGGTCAGCAGGTCATTTTGCTTCAATAAAGTAATGAGAAGAAAGCTTCTCCTACTTGGAAACTTGAATCCTGTTTCTGATAAAATTAATAGATTCTGACAATTTCTGATCTTTGCTTTAGACAGACGGATTGGGTAAAGCCCCTATAAATGGGACAATTCCACAAAATGAATTAAGGATTAGAGCTGAGGCCTATTTAGAAGACAAAGACTAGCCAACATGGAGCTGAACTCTTCCTTTTGCCTTTGCAGGCCTGTTTTCTGGGGCACTAGCAGCTAACCACACATGGCGCATGCCATTGGTATGCAAATGAAGCTGGCTTTATTAGGCCTATCGTCAGGGCTACAGCTGGGCAAGCAGAGATATGTTAGGAAAGTGAATCAGATGGCTGCAGTGGGGGCAGGGGAAGAGATCTCTCTCTGAGTGACCAGTTTGAAGTCCAATACCCAACTAAAAATGCATATGACTGACCAGTCCAAGATTCAAAAAGATTCAGCTCTCATGAAACAGTAAAATCTGTTATTAAATAACTTTGATCAGTATTTATTTTACTGAATACTCCTAAAATGCTTATTCTTACTGATCATGGCTTAACCTAAATGACTGATGACCTCATGCTGAGCGGCAAAACAGGTTTTTACAACAATAACAAAGTATTAAGGTCAAAAAAACTAAAGACCCCCATCATTCACAATTATTCATCAAGCTATGAAAAAAAAAGGATTTCAGCTATCTAACGCTAAATTAAAAAGAAATAATACATAAATGAAGTCAGACTCACCAAACACATGGATGAAATGACAGAAATAATAAAGACAAATCCTAAAAGCAATCCACCAACAGTGTGGAATTTACTTTGGGTTGTAAAGTGCGACCAGCTGCATCCATTTGCTGGTCAGGCATCATAGTCCCAATACTTCAAAGACAGACCCAGATTAAAGGACAGCCACTGTATGCATTACCTACAAACAAAAACCGTCTGACCACTCAAAACACATGTTTCAAGGATAAATGACTAAAGCTAAAACCAGGTTTTCCCACCAGAAGTAGAAGCAACTTTTGGGGAGCTTTTCTTCAGGATTACTTGGGGTTTTCTCTGCCCTAAGAGGGGGTAGAAAGGTTTACCAAAAGGGAGGAGGGCCATTGTCATAGCCAGTCCCATCTGTGCGTTCCCCCTTCCTTGAGTAATCTCATTGGCTCTAAGGGGCTAATATGCTAATGATGGGATGAAATGCCGGACTCTTGTCTTGCCATCACCCCTGTTGTGAGGCACACAAGCATTTCAACAATTGCTATGGCAACAGCTTTATCTATAGTTTGGGAGAGTGCCCGGGTTTTTAAGAGCAGAGCTACTGATCATTAGGGGTTGGTACCAATGCATGGTGAACATGGATCAATATTAGAAACTATTGGCAGGGCATTTCACATACTTTAGTGGAAGATTATAGTTCAAATGAACGAATCATTGTGCTTAAATCAATTCAGATGTAAAAATGGCTTAAACTTTTTGTCACATGATCCCTTTAAACAGATCCCTAAACGTTTGTATAAAACTTTATACTAAATCCCATCTTTTCTCTAAAACTCCTTAATCCATGTAACGTGTTCAGTAGCAGTAGCAGTAGCATATTAAATCAATTAAATCATAGTACTCTGGTTTGTTTCATGTTTTTAAAAGCAAATTAAACCACCACAATACAGAGAAATCATGGACTTGCAATGTTATTACTTAATATTGAAATGCAAGTATCTTTTACGAACAATCACCAGATTACTCTTTTCCCCCCCCCCTTTCTTCACAGTGAGCTATAGCATCTCAGCCAGTAAAGACATGCATTACGCGTTGGCGTTAAGCCCATCCAACAGACCAATATTACTACCATTTTTATGATTAAGGTTTTGCAAACTTTAGCTGTCAGATAGTTAATAGAATTTGATATTGATTTGGAGTTTAATTC